ACCTATGTTGTTATACAAATAGATGTATCAGTGTGAATTAAACCCTACCTATGTTGTTATTTCACACTGATACATCTATTTGTCACACTGATACATCTATTTGTATAACAACATAGGTAGGGTTTAATTAATATATATAATGATTAGTGGTGACACAATTGACAAACTTTCCTGAATTTCATTAGTGCAGGCACACATAAAAATAGGAGAAGAACTGTTGGTGATAAAAATAAGAAACATCTGTCAAATATGTTAAAGTATAAAAAAACAGCGTTGGCACAACTGACCCGGTAGTAACAGCAGTTCATGAAATCCATCCCAACCAACTTACATACCCTACCAGTTAATAATTTCTGTAAAATAATTTTGTCTTGTATTGTTGAGGGAAATACTTCATATATTTATCACCATTCCAGGTTTTTGAAATTGTTCCTAAAGCCACTACAATGTTTCAAGATATCCAAAATTAAAATTTTTAATCTAACACATTTAGAACTGCCATCATGCATTAACGCATCATAACCAATATACTGGGTCCTGCTTAACACCATGCCTACGGCTTTTGAGAAGCCTGAAAAAAATGTGGCAGTTTTAATCATCTTTCATTAAAACATAACTTTAACCTTTTATCTCTTTACAGAACTGAAATTCCCTTTTCCACAAACAATTACCAAAACAGTTTCATGTATATACATTGTTTTTTGTTTTTTCAATCAAACTTTTATTGAATACACAGAGCACATTCCTAGAATTACAAGTCATTTGATTTTGCTCAGTCGTATATTTATACAGGTATAAATAACACTTTGTAGTCTATATAATAAATTTACTTCTTTGATAACTCGACCTGGCAAAGAAATAACTTGTATAATTTCAATTCTTCCTCGTCTTACACACTCGCTCAAAAAAAAAACATACTTCTACTTGAGACATGTCAAATAGAACACCTAGAAAAATTGGTAACTTAATCCTTAGATTACTTGTTTCTATCATCCTTATCTGCTTACAGCTAGTAGATACGCATCGATAATTCCTAGCTGCCTGAATTATCTGTGTATCAGCTTATTTCAAGTTGATACACATTAATAATTCAAAACATACTACTTGAATTCTCTCTCTATTGTCCATATCAGTTTTGTTTATTTCTATCAAATATATGCAGTAACTATTGCTGGCATACAGATTAAATTATTTGTATCAAATATGCATCTACAAATGTTACCTCTTATAACCAAACTGTTCAGAAATGTTTAAATAATCCAAACACACCACATGATCAATTTCATCCAAGCACCCAGTTTTGATGAATTTAGCAACCTTTCTCTATGATTTACTTTAATGTTATTATATAATAATTCATAACTTTATTTTATAAAATACAAGGAAATTATACACTGCTTAAAGATGGGAAATAATTCAGTTTCATGCATTCTACCCAAGGTTGAGTCCTTTATGTCAAAATTATTTTTAATAAACAAATCGGCAAATCATGTGACAACTGCAGAGGATATAAGGTTGCAGTAGAACGGCATGTATCAGAACATATGATTTGATACTGTCTGGCATTTCACAGGTTGTGCAGTAATGTAATGCCACTGAAAACTAACTGGTTTAGGGAATGGTATGTAACATCCATTACTTACAAATATTTCTACACTGGTCAAGTCAATGAATGCAGTGCTTATGGATTTTTGTACTATCCAATTGTTGAAACAAGCACTGGGAAACCATCCTCTTCATACAACAGGTGGATTATGGAAAGCTTACATGGAGGAGTGGTGTAGATATGAGAGCCTTTTGTAATGGAAACTATGCTGTAGGGCTATTGCCAAGATACATGGTAATCCAATAGAGCATGATTGTACTGGCAACATGGTCTGTAATGTTAAAAAACTCCAAAATCATTTATACATAATGTCCTCAACCCCTGATCTTTAATATTTCCAATTTTTTTATGTTAACCCATCTTTTAAGAATGATGAGAAAGTGTTGAAGGGCTTCATAAATTTAAAACACTGTTATGGCTTTCCTTTTCACAGTGCAAGTCATTTTTAACATCCAAAATAAAGATCAAAATCTGTTTTTCTTTTTTCATCTTTAATAACCATAATACATCTTTTACATCTGTTCTTATGTTTTCTTGTATAATGAAACTGACAGAGTAACAAACACACTAATAGTTCATTGATGGTAACTCCTGATGTCCCAAGTAACATCTTGGACAACAGTTTCTTAAGGACACAATGATTCTACAAAAAATGTAAAAACATTTCACCCAACAAATAGGGAAGTACTATATTTTTGGTTTTATATTATCACCTACAAATTTGAGTTTATAGCAAAATAAATACAAATTCCTTGGATATGCTTGATATTCAAATGCCTAGTAGAGACATTCAATCACCTCACCATATTTTTAACATTACAGGTAATACAGTAGAACAGAAACATGCTTTACATAATGATTGACTAGTGCGTCTCTCACAGTTTTTATCCATCAAATAAAGTGCTTGGGATCTGTAATATTGAAGAGATGTAAGAAAAAAAAAAGACAACTTGTACTATCAATGAACTTCTAATATTTGAAATATTTACTTCATAACCATGGTTACTAATTTTTTTTATAGTTAATACTGATACAGACAAGAAACAAAACAACAAAATAACATCACCAAAGCCTGCCAGATATGCATTAAAACTTCCAGTGTCCAGTACAATTATTAATGTACTTGACGAGGAAGGTCTTCCTTAAGTATACAACCATTTTTAGAGAGGAAAAAATATAAAAAGATTTACTTCACTGTGTATAAAAAACATTTCCAGTACATATGACCGTAAATATATTTTTTTTCATTTTTCACCAAGATTTCATACTTCAACTCAAATAATGCTACCTAATCCTTAAGCCAGTTCTCATCTTTTGTATCCTGTGTCACCAGAAGTATACAACCCCCCCCCCCCACCTCAACCTAAGAATATATGCTAATAATATATTCATAATCTCCTCAATCATTATTAGCCACCTTAAAATTTTAGTTGTCCCAGGGGGTAACTGGTTTATTTCAAAGCTGTTTTAAACATATTCTATGCCCCCAAATCCAGCATTACTATATTTCCTAGGGTGTGGGGGGTGAACCCCACAGGTTAGGATCCATTACCTTAAAATGCCCTTCTCAGTTAGCTTTAACTGAAGTTCATATTGAAATGTATCATATGAGTACTATAAAGTACTGGCTGTGAAAACAATCATGTCAGAGTTTAAAAACAACAGATCAAGTATTTTACATCACAGTAAAAGTCAGAAACTATTTCAGTAGTCTGTGACATAAAAAAATTTAAACATTTCTAACACCACTTAATCACACTTTTTCTTAAACATCAGTTTTGAAACTGGACAATACACCTCAAATATTTGCTCAAGATTCTTCTTCTGTAGCCTTTGCTTTTCATCAACATAATCTGTGATCCAAACTTCTGAGGAGAAAAGGTTTCTAATGTGGAAGAAGAACACGTTACATATTAGTAAGTTGTCAACAATAATCCTTTATGGAAACATACTATACAAGTAGGAAAATTAACACATGGATTGCATGCAGATACATTCATGTAAAGAAAAAAAACTTATCAAATCATTAAAAAGAATAATAAAATTTAATACTGCAGGTCTATGGTTACTTTAACTTTGTGACAATGATGACACACCTAAATAACCTTCAGTCAAGTAAAACTGACCTTAAAGCCCCAACAAGTTAAGGAAAAAAATAAGCCGTTGTGGCAGAATTACCTATGTCTCTGACAAAATGACCATAACTTGATAATTGCATCATTCATGCTTTATTTCAACTTAAAGAGCAAAACAATTAGAATGAACTCAGCTTAACAGTACTTTATCATGAGTATGGGTAATTCACACTAACATCTACTTGTATAACATCGTGGGTAAAGTTTAATTCATGCTAAAATACATCTACTTGTACTATAGCATGAGTAAGGTTTAATTCATGCTAAAATACATCTACTTGTACTATAGCATGAGTAAGGTTTAATTCATGCTAAAATACATCTACTTGTACTATAGCATGAGTAAGGTTTAATTCACACTGATACATCTATTTGTATAACAACATAGGTAAGGTTTAATTCACACTGATACATCTATTTGTATAACAACATAGGTAAGGTTTAATTCACACTGATACATCTATTTCTATAACAACATAGGTAGGGTTTAATTCACACTGATACATCTATTTGTATAACAAAATAGGTAGGGTTTAATTTAGAATGGAAGGATGTTTGTATCAGTTGTGTCACCACTAATTGTTATATATTAACAAGATGCAGGGATGTTTGTT